CCAACAGCGTGTGCTGCTTCGCGAGTCACATACGGACCCTTTGGCTGGATGGTGGGGATTTTCCCCCTCCTTTGCTGGTGGTTTTTTTTTTTTTTTTTTTGAAAGGGCCTTTCTCTAAAGTCCAGTTAAAGGGATTTAAAAAAAAACAAAAACAAAAACAAAAAACAACAACCCTATTTTAGCAGTTTGACAGCTTTTAAAAACACAGGAGGAGTGTGTTCGGTGAAATGACGGAATATATGTTGTTGCTTTGCTTTATTTTATTCACGATTTCGGAGACGATGAAGACGTTTGGGGAGACAAATATAGTTCTGTTAGCAAATGAAACGTGAATAATTCACCCAGTGGGGGTGAAGGGTGGGGGCTACGGGGGTTTGGTGGTGTTTTTGTTTTTTGGGTTTTTTTTTTTTTTTAAAGTCAACCTTTTGTCTTGGGGCAAGAATCTTTGAGAGTAAGACAGTTAATACGTTGGTGAAATATTTGGATAATCATGTAACAGATATGCAAAAAGAACATTCTTTGGAAATGAAACTTTTTCTTTACCCCCAAATATGTAATTTAACTGTTGACAGTAGCAATGGTAATAATGTTAACACGAACTAAAATTACAGCTAGAATTTTTATGTGTAGTGTGTGTAATACTTAACTCCCTGCCCTCGCAGAAGGGAATACTTGAAAGCTAAGGACATAGAGGCTTCTTGACTCTGAAATTTCCACAGTGGCCACGACTTTCTGCGAATATGAAATGGCAGTAGGGTTGTATTTCACTGACTTCACCCTATTTCCGTCATTAAGCAATTTTTTTTTTTACTATGCTAGTAAAACTGCTTCTAGTTGTTTGCTAATCAAGAAAGCAAACAATAACAAAAATTTTCAAAAAACACAGAAAAACAAGCAATCAAAAAGTCTCAAAATGTGCTACTTTTCCTGTTTTTAAATGTGTGTTGCTATTGTTTATATACTTTCCAGACACCTGGGGAGGGAGGAAAATCTCACGTTGCTATTTCAGGGTGGGGTTGTGTTGTTTTGGTTTTGGTTGTTTTTTGTTTTGTTTTCTATTAACTTTTGTCATTTCATAAACCTGAACTTGTTCAGAATCTTTCCTTTGTACCAGAGGGGTCATTTGAGCATAGGCTTTTTTGTTGATCTTAGCGTGAACAGGAATCTTGGGAGGAGGGGAAAAAGCACCTTGATTTGTATGTTTGTGGATGTAGCGATTACTAGGACGATCTTCTGGTTAGATTTCTCTTTCTTTTTCTGGGGGACTGTTTTTCTGCTCTTTAATTGCCTCATGGCCAAAGGCTTATTCACTAGTGCCTCTTGACTAGTGCCCTCTGAGCTCTGGAGTTCTCCTTGAAGTTTGTGGTGAGTTAATGACTTGACTGGATGGTTTCATGAACGCTGTTCAAGATTGCTTTCGGTCTTTAGATCCAATATTGAAGTTTCAACTTTACAGCGTTAGTACAAGGGAGTTCAGTAGGGACTCTCTTCATTCCTTCATTTTTGTTCTAGGCTATAGTGTTTAGTGTTTGGTGAGGAACTTCAAGTTAACATTACCAGATTGATAGACAATTACCAGCCTTTCCACTCACTCACCATCAAATCAGCATCCCCATAGTTTTTCAATAGCAGTCTTTAAGAGACGATTGATATTAATAGAAAATAAAAAGGCTTGAGCACTCAAACCTTAGAAACGGAAGTGTTCTGTTTCAGGTTTTTTTTAAAAACATAATTAATATTTAGGGTAGGCCAAATGTAAGATCGCCTCAGAAATAACAATGCACAACCATATATAAGAACTGTTAATTTATTTTTTATAAAACTTAGATACTTTTTATTATTTGGAAGCAGTTGGGTTTTTTTACTAAATGTAAAATTGAAATTTACATTTCATGTGTTAATTGAGTCCTTAGATTGCTACACTTTGCATTTATTTTCATTTGTTTTTCTTTAGTATGTCCAGAAGCATCTATTATATAAATCTTACTCATTTTAATTTATATGATTTGTTTCATGCTGGTGACATGCAAACTATAAGAAAAAATTTAATCAATGTTTAAAGTTTCTTAGACTGAATTAATTTAAGGTGCAAAAAATTATTCATTTATATTGTAAAACTATCTGAGTTTATTTTATTTATGCATATATACACACTGTATACTACTTTATCTTTTAAATATTAGTTTGGATAATATGGTTAAGTCATTTATACTAGCCTTAATTTATGCATACCAAGAAAACATTCGTTTTTTAAACTAATTGCAGCTTAAAAAATCTGTTTCATTAATTTACAATTACTTTGTTTCATTTTCTAAAAAAGCAGAATGTGATTCCTAAGATAAGTTATTCCTCCTTTATGAATATGTATGCTGTCTCACTTCTTCTCCAGTAAGGATTCCAAGGGAGAATATACACTTGAAAGAAACCTTTTCAAGCAATTAAACTCTTTTAATGAATGAGCCCATATGGAAATTGACTGTTCTCCTCTTCTCCCTTTTAGATCTTAGATCAGTTTTGCAATGTGAAGTTCTGCATCGATGCCAGTCAACCAGATGTAGGAAGCTGGCTGAAGTACATCAGGTTCGCTGGCTGTTACGACCAGCACAACCTCGTTGCATGCCAGATAAATGATCAGGTAGGTTGTAAAGCTTTTTTTGTCTTTCTCTGAGAGCACTCAAGTATCAGTGGGGCCTGAAGAATAAAAATAACAGTGAGCTGCAGGAGACCCTTGTGGCCTGTTTGTTGAGATGCTGAAAGGTAATCCACAGATAGAAGTGAGATGGGGAAGAAAGTCATTTCCACCACTGTTTTCTTCCAGTACTAATTTCTTTGACTTTTTCTCCACTTAGGATCCGTATCCTTCATAAATGCTCTAGCTGCGTAGATGTGATTGAATCATTTTAAAAATAAGTACTGACTTGCTGTCTGCTAAGCGTCACAATTTTCCTTTACCATCCTAACATCGAGACATTGATAGAAACTATGGAACTAATCAAGAACACTTACAACATGTTCACATAAATTGGAAAGAATGCACTTAAAATTGTGCATAGATTGAATATAAAATAGTATGACATACGTACACACTTACCAATTTATACATTTGTATTGTTTTGTCTAAGTGTCCAAAAAATGAAGAACTTTTATTTCAGTTTAGTCCAAATACTTTGGGGGTTTTTTGGTGTATGCTAGAAAATTTAAAAATATCACTGCTGGATTTTGCTTTGTCACATTGTGGAGGAACAAGTGAGATTGATTTCAGTAACAGTAACTGAATTAAAGATCATGAAAATATCATAAAACATATTTTCCACTCAACAAAGTTAGCTTCTGAATCTTGTAACTTAGAAATATGACAATACCTAAAACAGCAGGAAGTGGAGAGAGTTGTGCCTTATGTTGAAATTTAATTATGTTATAATTCATTTCTTTTAATCCATTGGTTAGCAAAATCAAGTGTGTTTCAAAGACCATATTTAAATGATTGTTTGGAAAACCTACTGTGAAAATCACTACCAAGAGGGAAAGAATATCAATTAGCTGTTTCCAAGTGAAAGTTGTTAAGTAGTTTTAGCATCCTAATGATCTGTCTCCATTTCAGTCATCATTAAGAGATTGTTCCTTGGCATTTTATCAGCCAGCAGATAATTTCTTCCAACTGCCTAAACTGTGTAAAAGGTGGCAAATTGTAAAATTAGATTTAAGTGGGAATCACTTAAAAATCTTCAATATACAGCAAAATAATAAAGTAAGTCAATTGGGGTGTTTTTTCCTCCCTTTGCCTTAAGAAAACAAGAGACATTATTGACAAAGGAAAGCATTATTAAATTAGCTATTGATTGTGAGTAGAAAATTTCCCAGATCTTTCATCTGAGTTACTGTCACCACCAATAAGAGTTTTTGAACACTCAACTATTTGTAGATGCGACAATACAAAGTCATTATAAGTGAGGAAATTATTCATGTTAGTTTTCCTCAGTCAGGAACTTGTGGACCTCAAAAGGCAGCTTTAAGATGAAATAATATAATGACATCATAATAACCTTTCCCCATCCATATTTGCAGACAGTAAAAGCTACTCCCTTAGGTACAAGTGCGAGAGAACGAGAGAAAAGATGATTTAAGAATGGAATCGGTAGCCTACACATTTCTCGTTTAATATTTATGTGTCTAACATTTTATAATAAATAGTCTGTTGTCATTGGGATTCTTGACTCCATTACAAAAGGCTAACTATTTCACTGTCCCTAACCATGAATTAGCTTGCTTATGAGTATAGCATTTACAATTATAGCATGATTATGTTTGCAGGGCACGTTGTCAAATGCATTGTTTTACAAAGAAAATATGCTGGTTCATACTTTAATGAACAACAAGTTTCCTTTTTAGATGTGAAGAACCAAATAGTCAATCAGGAGGAAAGAGAGAACAATATTAAGCATGTGCACATTCTTTTTCTAAGTATCTGTTTTAAACTTATGTGATAGGTTGGCAGAAGTGTAAGATGGCAGTAGAGTGTATCTCAGATGACATAATTGCGAAATGAACATTGCATGGCTAAGTAAGTTCACCCATTAAGGAGAGAGAAGACCATCAGAGATACAAGTCAGAATTGTGGGATAGGAATAGATGCACAAAGTAACACTTAGCTCAAAAGACAAAAGAGCACACACCCAAAAAGTGTGCACACAGGTTATAAACATATTTTTGCGGTTAACTCAAGAGCATATTTCTGATGAAAGCCAGGTAAGAGGAGTATAATTCTAGACAGCTTTGAAATGTGAATGTTGGACTAGGTGCCATGATGAAAGCGCTGATGAAGGAGATTCTTGTGCTCTGCTGTTTTGGTCTCTGTTCCACGAGGAATAGGAACTACCAAATGGTGGCTAAGATCAGCTCATCCCATAAGATGCAAACCTGGGAGACGAGATAAGAGCTAAGATCCAGACCTAAAGTGAGGCCTTGTGTCAGTTGTAATTATTAAACATTAACTACTTCCACTCACCTGTACAACACAAACACAAGTTTAGCAATCTCTAAGAACAGTGGGAAAGGGTTTCTCTTCTCTCTGGGGCATAGATGGAACTCATATTTAGAAAGTTAATTTTAATGACAATATAGGCCTAATACATCTCAGGCAATGAAAAGGAAGAATTTCAGATGACTCTCTCAACTACATTCTCATACTGAAAATAATGAGGCAGGACTTCTAACAAATAAAAGGAAAAATTGTTTAAGCAATTTATACTTGCTGAGAGCCTTATTTTTAAAAATTATGATGTTTAAGATCAGATTGAATCAATTCAGGTTAAATGATGTGGAATCTTTAAAACAGAGTAAATGTGCTTCCTAAGATGATATAGAGCTTGATAACAGCAAAGCAAAGTCAACATATGTACAATGAATAAAAACCAGTTTTTGATCTGTTTGGTAAGGAAGAAGTATTTAGAAATAGTGTAAGTTTTTCTGTTTGCAAGTAAAGTTGATAAAGAATATAATCTTCTCTTTTATATTATAAATGCAAAGGCCATTCACTCAATTAATATTTTCCTAATACATTTCTACAAGTATTTTACTTTGAGGGATTTTTCTGAACTTTAATTTTCCAATGGACTTCTAAGAGTTACTTTATTTTAGGGTTTGTTTGGGGTTTTTTTTGTCCCCCACCATAGTAAGCATTGCCATGGCTTGCTTTCTTGACAGTGTTATCTAGAAATATCCAAGTTTATTTTTTTAAATGCCCCTTTCATTTCACTCTGTCTTCTACCTCAATTATTGCAATGATATTTTTGGCAATAGACATTCTGAAAACACTGGCCAGTGGCATTATCATTAAAGCAAAAAAACACAAGTTCCTGAAGCTTCTGTATCCTCCTCTACCTATGAAAATATTGTATTAACTATAGCAGTTTATCTTAAAGACGACAACACCATAGGCGTAGTAAATGGAGACGCAGACACACTCAAATCATAAAAGAGTAGATCCACTAAACACACCCAAGGCTCTCTATCTTTGAAGTGCTAATTATTTACCCCTCCTCCTTCCTTCTTGGTGTTTGTACATTGCTACATAGTTATGGTGAAGGGACACAATGTTTAGCTAGAAATGTTACTGAGTCCAAACAGTGTTTAAATATTTTCCTTCCCAGCAATGATGCTACTCTAGCTACTCTGAGGAGCAAGAATGGGCCCTGAGAGGTGGAGCAAGACACTGTGCAAATGGGTGACTGTCCCTTCCTGGCTAGGTCTTCAGGAGGACCCGGTACGAAGAGGAAGGGTACAAAGCCTTTCCTCACTGTTCAGAGCTTTCATTTGCATCCACACCTAGATGTGTTTACTATCAAGTAGGAGACATCTAATGATTGACCTAGATTTTTATTATTATGTATTTAATCTTGATATTTTGTGGTCTTTCCTTTTGGAGTCTTGTAGATATCTTACTTTCACAAGACACTGAGTAGGGGACGTGCCATGTTGCTTTAGAGTAGAACTCACTCTGCTTCCACCTCCCAGTCGTCCCTTTCATTAATCCAAACTCCTTGCTGTGGTTTCTGAACCAACTCCTTGCTGGCCCTGAGCTTGGTTTCTGCAGCTACAAATTATCACAGGAGGAGAATACCCATGTTTCTAGCGGATTCCACCCTCCGTTAGGTTTGCAGCCCAACTCTCTGCAGAGTCCACCACAGTCATCCATCTCTTAAATCCATCTTTACCATGTCCTTCCAGCAAGATCAAAGGCAAGAACACCTAGAAACTCGTGCTCTGCCTCAAAAAAAACGCCAGTTCTTGTCTTTGAAAGCGCTCACAAGTTTTGTGTGGGTCCCAAGTCCAACAGTTCTCTTTGAGTCTTCTTCATGGTGAAGTCATAGTGGTTGTAATCTGATGAGCCCTTGGGCACACAATGCATGAATGCTGACTTTTTCTCTGACTTAAACTAGACCTGTCTTTCTACTCAGGGTACCTAGAATGATGTGTTATGTGCTTCTGAGTAGCATTCTATAGACCATGTGTAAGTATGCCACCTTAGAGGAAGGGACATGATTCCATTCAACCTCCTTGCCTATGCTGACAGGGTCTACAAGTAGAGGAAAGGTGTCAAAACCCCTAAGACAGTAACTCTTGACATTTACATAGGTGACAAGTCCGGGCCTTTAAACAGGCCCTGGACAGCTGGTATTGTGTGAATAGAATCAGAGAAATCAGTTGTTCTATCTGAATAAAAAGAAATTTGTTGATAGATTAATATCAAAGCCCTGCTTTATATATTGAAAAAAATCTCAAAGAATGCTTGCGCCTCAGCAAATAGAAAATCAGAATCTACTTAAGGACATTCTGCTAGTTCCCGGGTGGGTAATGAGTACTGGTAATATCCTATCGGGATTTCCCTTGGAACAGGCATTGTTCTCATTTGTGATTTACTTTATAAAGTTTTAACTGCTTTCAGGTCAGGATGAACATGGCTGAGTTGGCATACCCACTCTCCACTTCTCAAGTCCACATCAATGCTTCTATCAGCCTGTTGCACTACACAGTATTATTACTGCAGGCTTATTGTGGGCTCAATTATCAGGTTATTTTCTTTGGCTTTTTCCTGGAAAAAAACTAATCTGTTTTCCTTTGCTATTCAGTTAATAC